TTTTTTTTTTTTTTTTTTTTTTTTGCAACTAGGAGCAATGAGAAAGCTGTAAGACTATAGATCAATATAGTTTCAGCTGAGAAAGACATTTTTGGTGAGCAGAGTAGTTTTAAAATGTAAGAGCCTGCCTTAGGAGGCAATGAACTCCCTAATACTGAAAGGGTTTCATGCAGAAACTGGATAACCAATTGCCAGGCCAATGTCTCCTCCAGTTTAACAGTTATTAAGCATCTATTACATACACGTGCCAGAAAACTGGGGCTTCCTCCATCAGGTGGGAGGTTGGGTTTGATGATCGCATGGGGCCCAGCACAATTTTTCAAGGTTCTTTAACTTTATGATTTTATCATTATCTTGGATCAAAAGTTTTTCACACAGGTAACAAAAACAGAGTTTCACCACTTTGTACTGTTTGATGTTTAATAATGTAAGACATAATACAGGTTAGTGCTTACGAGCTTAGCTTTTGGAGGCAAAGTGGTCTGGCTGGGTTCAAATGCTAGTTCTGCCACATACTGGCTGCGTGACTTTGGGCAACTGAATGAACTATTCGAAACTTCAGTTTTTCCCAACTGTACAATGAGGGTGCTAAGTAAAACCACCTCATTAATATGAGGATTCAAGATGATCCACGTAAAGCACATGATGTTTAGAACATGGTAAATCCTCAATAAACATTAACGATAGTCTTCACTGCAGTTTTCGTTCTCAATTAAGTCTTACACCTGGACCTTCATTTGTGATTGTTTGCAGGGGACTCCTTAAATGCTACTAATGAGGCCCTGTGATACTCACACATGGATGTAGTCTCAGATAAAGTCTGGCCTGACCCACAAAGGGAGGGTTCTGGAGCATAAACTGAACCATGGGTTCTCCCATCCCCCACTGAGACCTAGTGAATCAGCCTTTTGGACCCCATATTAATGCCACTGACTAGGGGGTGTGGAGGGCAGATAACTCCAGCGAGGCAGCTCCCATCATCTGAGGACAATTCTCCAGAGTGTCTGGAGAAGGAGGAGAGTGGTGAGCACCCAGCAGCTAAAACTCAGAGTAACTGGGGGACAGGCAGGCCAATTTGGTAAGGGGATCTGGGCAGGGCACCGGCATACAACATACACAGTCAACAGGATCTATTGGGTGTTTCTTGTAAGCCCAGCAGTCAGCAGAAGCAGTGCCCAGAGGCACACTCTCTTCCTGTCTCTAGCAAAGAGGCTCAAATTAACTTACCCATGTCATCTTCTTTCCCCTAGACCTTCCCACAAGGCAGGGCTAACCAGACCATGTACCTTTCTTCTCCTAATTACTGTTTACTTTCCAACCCAACTGCAACTCAAACTGACACTTATTCTGCACACTGTTATCTTCTGCAGGTCTATCTCCAGGGCAACTGGGAATTGCTACACATACTGCTTGCACCCAAGATTCTTAATTCAGCTTGGTCCAATTCCTTCCCTGGATACAGCTGCCTTCTTTCTTGTGGGTAACATAATAAAAACCAGCCCACAGTTTGGCCTGTCTTCTCTTCTCTATTCCCCTAAGGTCCCTCTCCCTTCTCCTCAAGATGTGACCAACCAACACAGTTTCTCTCCTGAATTTACACACTTAACTCCTAGCCAACTGACACTAGTAGAATCAAAACAAAAACAAGGTAGAGGTTTCATGGAGAAGTCTGAGACTAAATAATGCAGCAGGAACACATACCATCCAGCCTCTGAACCCCAATTTTGCCAGAATATAAATACTTTAAGTCAATTTCTTTTCAAAGGCTTTAATACTCAAGATGAGAACAATGGCTGGAGCATTCTAGTGGCTGGGATAATCATTTCTAGAAAAGGTTGGTTGCTGAGGTACCAGAATAGCTATCATGCTTTAGAGTTCTCTCTTCCCTTCACTGTGTTCTTCCCTGAAGAAGCTGTCAAACAAGGCAGAAACTACAAATAAAGCTTATTTCTACTGCATTCATGAGGCTTTTCTCAGTGTCAACGTTCTGAGATTCAACAGAAGAATGAGTGTCATCTCAAGGCTTTCCTTCATCCACCATTATCCATGGGTGCTCTCTTGTCTAGATCCTTAAGCATGAAGCTGCTAACAAAAGCATTTCTTGATGGGGAAAGCAAACATATCTATTTATTGTGGATTCTCCAGCGTCCCTAAGTTCTAACTGAAGGATTTCAACATATCAGTAGGTTTGACGGTTATGCTGGAGAAAATGCTTGAAGTTGTTGTTATTACATTCAACATAGAAGTAAGGTTTCCCTTAGGAAGGCTTTCCTAAACTTGAGTAAGAGCTGTTCTACACCAGAAACATCTAGACACTTAAGGTATTTATGGGATTTGTCCTCTCATGACTTCTCAGATGTTTAAAGAGGCTGCAACTCCAACCGAAACTCATTCCGCACTCTTTACACTGAAAGGGTTTCTCACCAGTATGGATTCTCTGATGCTGATTAAGATGGGACTTCAGAGTGAAGGCTCTGCCACATTCATGACATTGATGGGATTTCACATTGGAGTAGGGTTTTTGATGTTTTATGTGGGAACACTGGCCAACATTGTCTCTACATATATCACATTTATAGGTTTTCTCTGCAGTGTGAGTTCGGTAATGCTGAATAAGGTCTGAACTATAACTATAGGCTTTGCCACAGATATCACACTTATAAGGCTGCTCTTGTAACTCAATCTTCTTATCTTCAATCACTGTCAAGTTCCAACTATATGCTTCCTCACAAATGCCATTTTTTTCATTTCTCTTACCCATGTGGAGCACCTGATGTTCAATGAGGCTAACATACTGAAAAAAGATTTCTCCACATTCATGGCACTGATGGGATTTCTCTCTAGAGTGGAGTCTCAGATGCCCAGCAAGGTGTGACCGCCTCCCAAAGCCCTTGCCGCACTCATTACATTTAAAGGGTCTCTCCCCGCTGTGCACACTCTGATGCTGAACAAGATGAGACCTCACTCTAAATGCTTTCCCACATAAATGACAGGTGTAGGGTTTCTCACCAGTGTGGACCCGCTGATGCTGAGTCAGATGCACACGCTGATTGTAGCTTTTCCCACATTCGTCGCACCTAAATGGCTTCTCCCCCGTGTGTATTCGCTGATGTTGAATCAGATGTGCACTCTGAATGAAGCTTTTTCCACATTCATTACATTTATGTGGTCTCTCTCCTGTGGATGATTTTTTGTGCATGTATGTGACTTCGCTGAAATTTATCCTCTTTGAAGAAGGCTGTCCTAGTATCTCTTTCATGGGAACTCCCTGCTTTCTATCCAACTTGCCTGCATGTTCATGGCCTTCTCCAAAATCTTGCACTTGAGAAGCATTCCTTTGGATTCTTCCTGATAGTTCCATGTCTGCTTCTGAAAATTCTGAAATTTTCTTCTTAACATTCAATTTTGTATTCTTACTTCTTTTGTCACTGCCTGAAAGAATAAAGAGGAAATGCAGATGGCACCAGTTCTTTTACAGAAGAAGGACACGCTGCCAGGAAAAAGAGGATAATCAGGTGAAACCACGATGGAAGGGCAGTGACAAAGGGGGATACGTGTATATGCCTGAGCCAGCGGGAGTGAAAGAACTTTTGGTATTTGTCCACTGAAAAGAAGGAGATGAAGGGGCTCACTAAGCAGGGTGGTGAGGATGGCCAAGGCTAGGCTATCGCTAACGTGAGTACCACACTTTGACTATACAGGAAGGAGAGAGAGGCATTCTGAAATGCAAACATGGGTCAGGCAGACAGAATGAGACAGAACAAAACACAGCTGGATGGAGCAAGCAGACAAAAACTGGAGGAATGGGGAGCAAAGGATTATGAGGGGGATATAGAATTGGAAAGAACACCTGAATAGGAGCCAGGGCAAAAGAGAAACGAGTCAGGAAAAACTACTGTCAAGAGGGTAGGTGAGACATCAATCTCCACTCTCCTCGCCCTTAGCCCTCACTACATCTGCAGTTTCCCCCTCCCCCACAGCTTGAACCTGTGAATGCTCACTGCCTTTCTTGTCCGCTCCTGCCCGCC